ATAATACTCTTAGATTTTCGAATTGGAAGGACTGAAACAGTGGCCTTATCGTACCTTCTCCTGTCCTGTTTTTTTGTAGTAAGAGATTTAAACTTCATTCTTGATAAATGATATCAAACAAATGCAGAAACTTATTCATATGTAAGAAAAAAAGTAAAATCACAAAAATACCGAACTCTGAGGAAAATTCAAAACTGAAAGTCCCTTATCAAATGGCAAAATCAAAAGCTCAAACACATCAAACGAATGGATAACAACTGTCATATTCCTGACTTGGTACAGGCATTTTCTAATGTAGATAAAATGCTCCGCGGGGGCGCAGCTTGATACGACCGCAGAGGTCAAACCCTGAACAATTGGGGCAAGTATGGACACAACATTCAAGCTTGATACAGCACTGAATTTGGATTGTAATTAAATATTTGACACAGCATAGGTTTCTGACACAGAATGAAAGTGGTCTAAGAACTTACAAATTTTTAATTTACCTATTCATACCATATCATTATTATTTGCTTTTATATATAAATCAGAAATAACCAATTTAAAAGGGAAAATTTTAAAGAAAAAAAAGGGGAAAAAAATCCCCCCCCCCAAATTTTTTGACCCCCTTATGATTCATCACCCCCGAACTCAATCCCAGCCTTCCCTTTGTGGTATGGTACCTTGCAGTACAATTTCAGAGAGATCCATACACTTGAACACAAGTATTTGTCTGGAAACTAGAAAAATGCTTGTTTTTTGGCCCCAAATTCCTAAACGTTTAGGGCATATTACCCCCGAACTCAAACCCAGCTTTCCCTTTTTGATATATAGAACCTTGCAGTACAATTTCATAAAGATCCATACACTAACACACAAGTTATTGTCCTGAAACTAGAAAAATGCTGGTTTTTTTGCCCCTTTTATGGCCCCTAATTACTAAAATTTTGAGGGAATTACCCCAAAATCAATCCCAGCCTTCCCTTTGTGATATAGTACCCAGTGATTTTGCTAGCGCTCGTCATTTTCGTCATTTACGAAAAGGTTTTCAAAATGACGAAAGTATTCCAAATCAATTTCGTCACTTAAATTTGGAAAGAGTAAAAATATTTTCGCATGAAATTAATATAATTCTACCTGTCTTATTGTTTCTGACCCTCAGCTAATTAACATTTACAACAGGTGTTACAAGTTGTGATTACAGATAATCCGCTTATCGCCATCGGATGGATCACTAATCCGTTAATTATTTATCGACCTCATAATTATTTTCCCCAGTAAAATCAGTCAGTCGGCATTTCAATTTCAATATTTATCAAACGAGAACAATTTGCAGTTCTTTTGTCGTAGTTTCGTCATTTGAGTTTTCCCTCGGACCGTTCGCATTTTAATTTCAATATTTCTCAAACGATCACAATTTGCAGTTCGCTTGTCGTAGTTTCGTCAAATGAACGTATTTTCGTCATATTTGATATAACTTTTAATCAAAAACTTTCGACAATTTCGATTAAAAAGATAGAACTTTATTCATAACATTCAGAAATGTTTCCACGAGTCAAACAGGTGCTTTCTTTACGATGAACTGCGCATGTGCGAAAGTATTCTTATGAATTTAAAGACACTAAAACGTGAAATACGATATAATTAACGAGAGAGACAAATATAGTTCTTATTTAGCAAATTTAATTTAAAAAATGATGATTTCCTGTCTTTTTTAAACACGAACAATCCGTAGATGAATCCGGATTCATTCTGAATTTATTATCCACTTGTCACTTCCCGTTTTCATTTCATTTGGAAATCGAAAGTAAACGTGATCTATTCATGATAAATTTACAATTTAAAGTCATTAGAATTGTTCCAATGAGGATTTGTACAAATCCTTGGTTCCAACTTTATAGAATTAATTCTAAATATAGCTTTAAAACGTTTTTAAGGATAATGAGTATGAATAATGCAGTGAAATAGTCCTTACAAGTTCATTTATGCTGTGATTCCTAGTTTTAAAAAAATGGATCCCAACTTTTGCTGATTAGGAATGTACCCTGAAACTAACTGAAGTGAAATTGTGAACTAGATTTCTAGATCTTATATCCTTATCTTCGTATTAAAGTGCCACATCAGTCAAATCATGCAGTAACTGCCTAGTATGCCTAAGTCCTTCAAAGTCTGACAAAGATGTATAGATAGTAATATACAGCCTAGGTCCCTTGCTGCTACCCAAAATAAGGTTGATTTTCATTTCGCGCAAAAGTGACTAAAGTCCTCAAATTCCTAGCTTAAACCCTGTAGTACCTTGCAGTACAATTTCAGAGAGATCCATACACTTACACACAAGTTATTGTCTGGAAACTAGAAAAATGCTTATTTTTGGCCCCTTATTCCTAAACATTTTGGGCAATTACCCCCAAACTCAATTCCAGCTTTCCCTTTGTGATATGGAACCTTGTAGTACAATTTCATAAAGATCCATACACTTACACACAAGTTATTGTCATGAAACTAGAAAAATGCTTGTTTTTTGCCCCTTTTGGCCCCTAATTCCTAAAATTTGGAGGCAATTACCCCCAAAATCAATCCCAGCATTCCCTATGTGATATGGAACCTTGTGATACAATGTCAGAGAGATCCATAGACTTACACACAAGTTATTGTCATGAAACTAGAAAAATGCTTGTTTTTTGCCCCTTTTTGGCCCCTAATTCCTAAAATTTGGAGGCAATTACCCCCAAAATCAATCCCAGCATTCCCTTTGTGATATGGAACCTTGTGGTACAATGTCAGAGAGATCCATACACTTACACACAAGTTATGTCTGGAAGTTACAAAAATGCTTATTTTTGGCCCCTAATTTCTGAACTGTTGGTACCATAACCCCTAAAATCAATCCCCACCTTCCTTTTGTGGTATTGAACCTTATGGTAAAATTTCATTGAGATCCATTCACTTAAACTAAAGTTAGAGTGCGAAAACTAATGTGTCTTCGGACGACGACGACGACGCCAACGTCATACCAATATACGACCACAAAAATTTGTTTGCGGTCGTATAAAAATGGTGGATTAAACCATGAGATAGGTTTCTTTTAACAAAGATAAACACTGCGGAAAATATTTATACAAGTTATGTCTATTACCTTAACCACTGGACGTTAAGCAACCAGCAATCAATCAATCAATCTATTACTTTAACAAACTGCTATAGAAAATCTGATAGGGCAGAAATGTTCAGAATGTTAAGATCTTATTTTCTTTTTACACCAAAACTGCCGTACAACTTGTTAAAGGAGTTATTGTCCTTAAATGACGATTTTTTTTACCAATATTTTCATTTTTGCCTAATATCTTAAAACCTTTAATTGATATATTATATTAGATAGGTAAAAAACTGAAATATGCAGAAATGAACAACAAGTCAAGATCTACATATATGGCAAATGGTCGAAAGTCAGTAGACTCCAAATTGGAATTATTGCTCTTTAATGATAATTTTTACCCATTTTTTGTGTTTTTGTCTATTATCTTGAAAACTATAATAGATAGAAAGACACTTTAGATAGCAAATGAGATGCACATTGATCAAGGTGAGCAAGACAGGCCATTAAGAGCCTCTAGATGTGTTTTTTGTGTTGATCAATCTTGTTTTCAATGTACTGTTTTTGGATCGTTCTTTGTCTTATCTGCTTTTTTTTTTTATTTCTGACATGGCATTGACATTTATTTTAGGTTTATAATTTTCATCGTGCTCTTGGTTTTCTTTTGTAAGTTTTCTTCATTTATAGTAACAATAGGGCTTTATTGATTTTTTAGAGAGAAGGAGCAATGTTAGTGAATAAACAGAAACATCAAATAATTGTCCAACTATAAATAAGAATGATTGGTTAGAACAAGGATCAAGAATTTTTTCACACAATTTCGGTATTTTTGAGATGACTTAAAAGTTGTGTCCCTTTTTCATTGTTTTTCAAATTGTCGAAATTATTCACACTACATTCAAAGCATCAAGGAACTTCTGTTGACTGTTTCGTTGTATTTAATGCATGAATTTTCTTACCATTTTCTAAAACGTTCAAGAACAGTATACGGAATGCAACAGTTTAAAAATGGTAAATTTCTCAGACATGATGCCAAGGTTTCTTTTGATTTTGCAGACTAAATTTAAACCAGAAGTTTCACGATAATCCTAAAAACTGAAAAAATCACATTAAGTAATTGTATGTGTCCGAAGCATGAGTACGAGTCATTCCAGAATCATTTCTGGGATTTGTCTGTTTATCAAATTTTGACAGGAAATCACCGGATTTTAAATTTTATTACCATTAAAAGTGTTTGAATACAAAACAGATATAGTTGCACTTGTTTAATTTATAATGAAATCGTTTTGCATGTCTATTTCACGTATTAGTTTTACATAGTAAATAAAGCGTTTGACTATTGGACATTTACTTTTCTCTACGTAAATAAATCAAGTTTTAATTTTAAAACAGAATTGACAATTGTCTTTGCTTAAAAATTATTAAATAATGAAGAAAGTTGTCATGGAATTTTAATGTCTTTTTAATATTAGTTCTGAGCTTGTGATCACTGTCAAGTGTGAATTAAAAACACAAGTAAAATGTGATTAGCTATCACTAGCCAATATTTCCTGGAGGCATTGATATGGTTATTAGGACGGACCTCAGTATTATCATACTATACTGAAGTGGCAGTTTTATTACAGGAAAGTCTAAGGGATAACAAAACAAAAACTATTGCAAAATGGCAATTAAGAAACCTGATCTCAATGAAATGGCCAAAAGTATTTCTTAAAAAAAAAGCCTAAATCCCAATCTGCCGTTGAGCCCAAATTGCTTTCAGTTAGGTCATGACTAGCAAATATGACCATTTCCAGACCCTTGGGTTTAAAAGTAAGTAGCTTTGAATATTGTCAGTGGTGGTGTTTAAAATCCAAATGTGCCAAATTAACAAAGTAACAGAAAAAGCAACTGCGCAAGTGTATACAACACAAACTAACTATACCTTTATTCTCGGCAGTTAATGATGTTGTACTTGGGCCCATTTTCTCTGAATAACATTTCAAATCATTAGCAATATCTTCGTATCCATAATTACGTAATCCATCAACAAACACACTGTAAGCAGGTTCTCTCCTTTTAATCACAATATCCAGCAATGCTTTGTTCTGGTCATCTTGTCGAGGATAATGTTCAATATCACGTCTGTCGTCTGCTGATATCACCAGATGTGTCATCATATGGTCTAGAATTTGGCTGGTTTGTATATTCTGTATGATTCTGTCTGCATTATCTCTGATCCTATCTGTAGTCATAAAGAATTATTATGCATTAGATCATTAGTGCATGACTTTTTTGCATATGGTATGCAATGTCAGAGTAAATAAGGATATAGATTCCTTTAAAACTGTCTTTTTGTATTGAAATGTTCTTTCTACAAAAATGTTCTTATCTTTTTATGCAACCAACCAATAACACTGATATGTTAACAAGGGCTCTGTCTGCATATTTTTTGGGAGGCAAAGAGACTGATGCATTCAAAGCAAATGTTCATAGTTTGTGGATTTCCATAAATTTTGACATCAGCAATTAATTCAGGATGTGTTCCTGATTATTATTTTTTTAAATCAAATCGTAAAGACGTGTATTTCGGTAATCATTTTCGTAAGTGGCTGGTATCCAAACATTTTAACACAAAAAATCACTTCCTAGTTGCAAACACTACCTTTTTCATTTAAATCATAGCAGGAAATACGATTCTCAGAAATCAATAATTATTTAAAGAAATTTTTTTCAACACAATTTTGACTTGAGGAAACAAATTGGCATGCATATTATGCCTATATTATATATCATTTATTTATGACATCTTACAAGAGGATGCTTCTCAAATTTGGAATTTTTTTTGTGATATTTAATTTGTCAATCAGTTTGAAATAACTTATTACACCTTTATGTCAGATTTAAAATCCTATGATAAGAAGACATTTTTCAAAAAAAAATTTCTCTAAAAATAACGAGCCATAATATATCATAATATATTCATAATATAAACATTGAGCGCAAGACAAGTAACTTATGTTTTGCTCTAGATCAGAAGAGATCAAGTTTGATCCTTTAAAGACTGTCTAAATAGTGCTGCCAGATAAAAGAGACATTTAGTGTAATAATTTTGTGAGTCTGGTATAGGTGATAATGACATTTATTGATTTGAGCAAGTTTTAGATTTTAAAAGTTCACTCTGCATATACTCTAAGTATAAGAATAAATAAGTCAGTAAAGTTGTTACGGCGAATATGACAGGTGTAAATTATGAATACGTTTTAGACTTTAATGTGCATTTTTCGGTTAGTCATAAGTATGATAAAGGAGAAAAATATTTTTGCTGAGTCGAGCAAGTTTTAGATTTTATTGTGTATTCTTTGTATATTCTAAGTATAAGAATAAATAAGTCAGTAAATTTGTTAAGGTGTATATGATAGGTGTTAACTACGAGCAAGTTTTAGATTTTAATGTGCATCTTTGGGTTAGTCATAAGTATGATAAAGGAGAAACAGACCTTTGCTAAGTCGAGCAAGTTTTAGTTTTTAATGTGTATTTTGGATATATTCTAACGATGAAGAAGCAGTCACAAGTGAGACAAAGGTGAAAAGACAGTTGCTGAGTCGATTAAGTTTTAGATTTTAAATGATTGTATATACCAGTTTGAATATACAGAATTAAGTATGGTGGCGGTGTATATAAGTGTATAAAAAAGAAGTTTTATAATAAATGGAATTGCCAGACATGCTGATTAATTTATAACGGATACTACATTTCAATAAGGGATTCTACACTTCAAGAGGATTTCTCATACCTGCCAACTTTTGAAAGTCCCCATGGGGGTTTTAGTGTGCGACAACAAATTCTTTGCGACATATTTTGCGCTTGCTGTTTTGTGGTCTAGAAAAGGTGTCATATTTGTATGATGAGCTTACAAGCCTTTATCATAAGTTTATTAGCATGATTCTAGTCATTTTTAATATATCAGTAGAAAAGATGAATCTGTAGCTAGAAGACCAGGATTTATTTTCTTGTCTTAGGATATTAAAAGATTTTTGACATTTAAAATCTAAAATTATGCACAAAGAAGGACTTTTATCAGGTTGGGAACAACACCCCTCAATGTAAGGACATTAAAAACCAATTTTAAGTACAAATGAGCATACATTTATATTATTTGAAGAAACTTTTCCTAAAGAATTATACATCTACATGTATCTGGTATTATATGGTCAAAACATGTCCAAGAATTTTGTAATGTTCCTGGATTTTTATCTTCATCATATTTATTATTAAAAATAATTGGACCCCTCATTTAGAAAAGACTTTAAAGTTGTTCCAAATATAATGAATTTTCGCACTTTTAAGTTAAAAAATCTAAATTTTTCTTTTTTCTCTTTTACAACAGAAAAATGATTACTTGTCTTAATGTCTTTGGGACAGTCCCTCATTTAAGGGATATACCCCTCATTTGGGGGTTTGTTCTGAACCTGTTTGTTTGGTCCTTGTGAAAAATGAAGTACAAAATGTATAGTACATTGTACTTTAAATGATTTGCCCCATTTGGTAATTTAATTGAATACAAAAATGACATATGTTACAGCAAGTGTAATTACTAATGTCAATAAATTAGTGAATAAACTACTATTTATTATCTTTATGGTAGTACTGCATCATTGAATTTTGTCAATCAGCCATGCTTTTATTCTTAAGCTGTTTAAGAACCTCCTTGCAGATGAAAAATAACCTTCCATGTTCACGATTTTACAATTCTGACTAACACACAGAGGAATACAACACAAGTTCAAAATCTAGCATGTTAGAATAATCTTAAGAGAAAACGTTTTTGATTGGCTTATTAATCTGATCATGAGAAACACAGAATTTGATTGGCTGATCACGATTGTCTTCCCTTGGGTACAGTTCATAATCGAGAACAATCATATTTTTCGTGTAGATTTTCACAAAATCGTGTTTTAGAGGTTTTTTCACGATCCCGATCGTGCAATCGTGACAAAGGGCCAAAATCGTGTAGTAAGTTGGCAGGTATGATTTCTCAACTGAAGTGGTTCATCTGAAAAAGATGAAGTGTACAGAATAGGTAACAGGTAATATGCACATCTTCATATTATGTACAACCACTGTGCAACATTTCATCGGCCTCCTACCCACGAGTTTAAGTGTTTACAAAAGACACTTCTCAAAATTTGTTTTTAAAAAATTAATGAGCTGAATTTTTCAAAAATATAATATGTACAATTACATATTATGCACAACAAATATGCATAATATCATTGGCCTCCTACATATACTTTTGGAATTATGGCGTTGACAAAAGACAGCATACTTCTAAAACAAAAAAAATCTTAAAATGTGTTGTTTTCTCCAAATTTAATGAGCCAAATGTAATCAAAATATTAAAGAACCTTAGTGAGCGCGCTCACATACCCCACGTCCCCACATTGTTATTGGAGAAATAAAATAAGTGTGAGAAAAAAAAAATGTATCAGAAAAAATAAAATGCTCCGCTGGGGCGCAGCTTGATACGACCGCAGAGGTCGAACCCTGAACAGTTGGGGCAAGTATGGACACAACATTCAAGCTTGATACAGCACTGAATTTGGATTCATACATGTGATGGACTGTGAAACTCAGATCAGGAGATTGGGAAATTTTGGTCAGGAGATTAGGACTCAGATCAGGAGATTTTTAATCGACATAAATTTTATTGTAAATGTAACTGTGTGCTGTAAAAATTGTCTTTTAAAGTGTGTTTTCTTCAACTTTCCATCCAATGTATTATGTTTATAGTACCCTTGTAATTATAAAGTTTCTCTATCTTTATATTCTACATGATCAATCTAACATTCTTTTTTGTTAGTATGTTCTTTAAATATTTTACTTCATATCTTTTATATCATTATTCTATAGAACAATCAATGCAATCAGAACATTTGTTTAACTATCTGCAAATGCAATTAGTTTTTATTTGAATATTCAGAAACTCATTCTAACCTGATAGAAGGGTCATAGTTACTATATAAATTTCAATTTAAGCCTTGAAAGGAAGTATAGAACCCTCAAATAATTTTCAAATTATTATTTTTTTATTTGTCCTAAGACATTTAAAATCATTTAATTACCATCCTTTTATGATTATTTGTTCAATTTATATTTTATTTATATTCTTTTAAAAATTTTCATTATTTAAAGGAACGTAACTTAAAACAGGATAAATCAAGGGAAGTAACCCAATAAATACACAAAATTTTTATTACACAACGGCAGTTAGCCTGAGGTAAAAATCGTTGATTACCAGTATGTTTGACACCCAAGCTGACAAGTGAAGCCATATAATTATGCATGTTAATTGATTTACAGGTAAAATATAACTTCAGGTAATGTCAGTTACACCAGGCAGATGTCTGAGATGATATGTTGTGCAGAAATTTTTCATTCATGAAAAATTTCATACACTGGATTTTTTTTCTCTTCAACGGGAGGTCGGGAGGAGACCCCTGAAAACGGGATTATTGTACTCCCGTTGGGAGGTTCACATGTATGTGGATTGTAATTAAATATTTGACACAGCATAGGTTTCTGACACAGAATGAAAGTGGTCTAAGAACTTAAAAAAAAATAATTTACCTATTCAAACCATATCATTATTATTTGCTTTTATATATAAATCAGAAATAACCAATTTAAAATGGTAAATTTTAAAGAAAAAAAGAAAAAAAAATCCCCCCCCCCAATTTTTTGAACCCCCTTTTGATTCATCACCCTCCAAACTCAATCCCAGCCTTCCCTTTGTGGTATGGTACCTTGCAGCACAATTTCAGAGAGATCCATACACTTGAACACAAGTTATTGTCTGGAAACTAGAAAAATGCTTGTTTTTTGGCCCCTTTTTGGCCCAAAATTCCTAAACATTTAGGCCAATTACCCCCAAACTCAATCAAAGCTTTCCCTTTGTGATATGGAACCTTGCAGTACAATTTCATAAAGATCCATACACTTACACACAAGTTATTGTCCTGAAACTAGAAAAATGCTTGTTGTTTTGCCCTTTTATGGCCCCCTAATTACTAAAATTTGGAGGGAATTACCCCCAAAATCAATCCCAGCCTTCCCTTTGTGGTATGGTACCTTGAAGTACAATTTCAGAGAGATCCATACACTTGAACACAAGTTATTGTCTGGAAACTAGAAAAATGTTTGTTTTTTGGCCCCTTTTTGGCCCCAAATTCCTAAACGTTTAGG